ATACATAAGCAACTCCATCATCGCAGGCTGTAATGGCTAGATGACCAAAAGAATTAAGGTCAAAACTATTAATTTGAGAAGTCTAAGGATGAAAAAAGCCTAAGTTTACTAAAGCTATAGAATGAATTCTTTCAGCAGGTGACTGGAACGTCGTAACAGCTTTTTCATCTTTCGTTGAAAGAGTCAGGGTAGTCTATCGAAAGTTAAAAAAATAAAAATACTGGAGATTTAAGAGATATATCTATGTAATCAATGTCCGATTCGTATTGGTTGCGGAAGCGAAGAGCCTTATGGTAAGTTTTATCAGCTAAAAATGTATTGTATCAAACACATACATTTGCGAAGTATATGGAACCATACCGAACGGTCTTCCTCACTTATTCATAAAAAACATTGAAAAATACCTTATACTTATATCCCAAGAGGGCTGTAATAGAAAACCGCGAATATCGAGCTGATTGGACATATTAATCAAAGAAGAAAGCACGTGAAAAAATAACATAATAACTAAATCATTTATGTGCGTTTTAGCCTTAATTTTATTTAGTTAAAATTTATTCAATTTGGGCTTGTTAATAACTGTTGTTTAATAATATATGTCTTACGGCGCATAGGTTGTTCTGCTTGTCCTCCTTCGTCACGCCTCATCACTTTCCTTCGTCTTCCTTATGCATTGCAAAAAAAATAGTCATTTAGGATCTGCTTCCAAAAAAAACATGCATAAGTCTGATATGCTGATCACTCAAAACCACATTTCGACATTTACAGCTGTAGATTATTGTGATGAAGTTTTGTATGCCGGCGTGTCCGTCATGTCAGGTATGTTCCTGAAATAGAGATATACTTTTCTTCCATTCTACTAAGACAGAGGCTCATTTTAAATTATCCGTTTTGACAGTTTTCAAACATTGATTTTATATTTTATACAAGGGAACTATTGGTTTGGCGGACTTTCAATAGATGACATGAGCAGAAAAGATTGTTTTTCTCTAAAAACGCACAATCCTTCCTCCGAAATTGATTTGAGAAAGCATGGTTCACATATTTTTCTTTCTTTTGCTGACGCTGCTTCAATCGCTTCTGTTGCTGCTATCCCTTCACTTGCAAAGAGCAAACAGCTTGCTGCCATAATAGGCCTAGATGATGGATCAATACAGCTTGTGATATCAAGTGATTCTAAAATGGTAAATATATCATATTAATAATTTATTTATCGCTTTTTTTGGACCAAATATTGCTTTTATGTATATTTTATCTTCAAATTAACTGAGCATTTATTTCATACCCTATTTGCATGCCTCCAATTCCGACCGGTTTTTATCCTCTCTATATATTTTATGCGCAAGCATTTAATATTAACAATTACATTGTAATAACCATTTTTAAATGCTGATTATCGACCTTATTTCATTTTTTGGTATCTTCCATAGTCTGATTTTATTTAATTCCTAATAAATATTATTGCCCATCTTTATGCTGAATTGACTATTTGTATTTCTTAGTTTTTGTGAGATATGGCTATCTGTGTAAAATATGTAATACTTTAATTTAAACCTAACCACCATAATATTCTATAATAGTAATGCCTCATTATCGTATGATAACTTGTATCTTTTTCTATTTTGAATTAGCATAAATATATATATATATTCGAAGAAAAGTTTGGTTTTGAGTAATCTCTCGTTTCATAATTGTTGAGCTTAGTTCCATCTACAGCTAAAGTGTTGGTGAAGAGATCCTTAGGTCGGTCCCACCAGATGACGACGGCGGGTTCCTCTTGATCAGCTGTCGATTGGCTTTACTGGAACATTCTGGTTTACGTTGTTTTCAAAGCAATCTCCTTCGATTCCGGTGAAGGAGATTATCTCGGAAATAGCGTCAACAAGAACGTTCCACTTTCACTCGAAATGGAAGTAAGCTCAATACAAATGTATACATGATATCTGTGTTATTTATTATAAAGGTAATATTATTATCGTGTATATAGTATAACTTGTTCAGCCACTTGTTGAGCTTGCTATTATTAAGAAGGATCGTTGGTTCTTTAGTCATTTTCTAAAGTTCATCTAGCATCCTGGAGACATCTCTTGCAGTCATTATCCGATATTTCTTATTTAGATTTATTTTAGCTTTTGATTGAGTTTAGATTGTC